GTACTGTTGTTTCTATGACATTATATTTAGAAGGAATGAAATAATTCCAATTATGATCCTTAAATGCTACATGGCCTCACCTTTAACTTAACTGCATCACTGTCAACCTGATCATCATAGCTGCCAGGAAAATAGCTGTATTGACTGTAGAATCTGTCTGCCGCCCTCAACATTATGTACCAGGCAATTTCACTGTCTGGGTTTTCCAGATTCATTGCTGTCAATGTAACGTTAGAAAGTAACATAAGTTAACTGGTAGTACTTTAGTTATATGGGTAGTAACTACTATATACATGTATCCCCCTCCCACAGGGGACGCGCAAAAGCCTCAGTAGGTGCCACCCCTGATGGTAACTTGGAAAATACCAGGAGATACACTCCAACAAAGACTGCTACTCTAGAATTGGACATCTTAGTCTTCTTAGAAAATGTCCTCCCAACCAAATCAGCAATGAATACCTTCAGGATGAATTTTATGCAATCATCTCACGAGATAAGCGTGCCAATAACTGTGTCATTACTATTATTAGTGCAATTAAGGCCGTGTTTCCACAGCACTTATAATTTCTCCGATACTTAAAATTCCCTCCAAATATTTTATCCTATCATGCAACAATATGGAAACAATGCAATGTCTTCAAAATCAAAACATCCGTTTTGTTGACCAGCAAGTGGCCCTTTTTTTGCGCGAAATGGACAGGCCTAGGCCAAGAACAAAATCCTTTCGGTACTATTTCACTCTGGGAAATGTAATGTCACAATGATGTTTCATTGTACAGTACTTCTAGGGATTGGGAAGAAGATGAAAAAAAATGACAGCTTTGTTTGGTGTGCTTCACAACAATAAATGATAGGTAGGGACAGACCTAGACTCAGCCAGGCACCGTTGACATTGAGAGTGCAGCCGTTTTAGGCTTTTAAAAAAAATATTTAATAAGCACAAAAAAAAAAATTACTCAAATTTTATTATGAAGTGTTTGATACTAGGACTATATGCTTCTAACTACTAGTGTATTTGACATCGGTCAAAGGTTATTTATTTTTGCATTAAAATCTTTTTCCAATAAATTATCTGATTCTCATGTGAAAATTTATTGGAAACTTTGGGCCACGTTTCTGCAGCGAAAAATAAAAAAATGGCTGCTTTTCGATAATTTATGGGACAATAAGTGCTGCGGAAACACAGTCATAGTCTTTATCTCATTAACGTATTATACCCCAAAAAATCATTAAAGCATTAACCATAGTATTCAACAGGTCAACATTATCCATTCAGCTTACATATGCAATCTGGTGTAATGTACTTTCTATATCGGAAGATGATAGCCAGCTGCCATAAGGAAGTAAACAAACAGAAGTATCTATGCTTCCTCCGGCAAATAGAGACAGCTGATATTGGAGCAATAATGCAAAATACACAATGTAGTGACAAACCTCATATTATATTTCCGTTTGTTTTGTGGTACTTACATATTTCCTGTACAGCTGCTGTGTCCGCTGAATGCTCCTCGGCCAGCGACCGACATCGGATGACACGTAAGAAGGCAGAGTTCTTGCAGAAAAGCTTGATTTCTTTATCTTGTATGCTGTCAGATACCTGTGAATGGAAATGACTGAATATCTGTGAACTTATCAATCAACCAACCAATTAATCTATCGATCAAAGATTCAATCAATTTCCTATTACTTTTTTGACTTGGAAAAAAAAAAAAAAAAAATTGAATTGAAAAATTTGAATTACTTGATTAAACAATTGAACATTCCTTTAAAAATGTATTGTCCCATGAAAATGACAAAAAATTTTTAAAAATAATTTTGAAATTGACTTTTTGCAGTAACATAAAAATTATTAACTTTACCAAAGCAATTATTGTATTTAAAAAATGTGTACCCTGATTTTTATAATGGATAATAATAATAGTGTTTCTATCATTTGTAACTGTAAACATCTTCTAAATACAATAATTTCTATGTTAAATTTGATAATTTTTATTTTACTTCACAATGAAATTAATTTTACTAACAATTTTTATTATTTTTGGGGTATTTTGGATAGGATAATAAAACGTTTAATCAATCAATCAATGAAGTCACATATTGTTACATGAAAGAACATCGTCTTAAAATTATTTTTACCTTTCCTAGGGAAACTAATATTTGTTGAACTCTTGAGGTCACTGCAATGCAATCTTTTCTTGATTGCTCTTTGTATCTAGAAACAAGAAATCCATATATATTATTGTGGTGCTTTGTTGTATATGCAATATATAACTGTTAATGCTGTCAAATTCAGAAAAGCATTATAATAACAATAATAATATGGCAAGAATTTTTTTATTCTTTGTTTCACAAACTTATTTTTTTAAAGACATCAGGGGAGGGCGGAAAAAAAAATAAGATAAAAAGAAAGTTTTGTTTTCTTATTTAGCCAATAAGTTTTGCCAAAAACACCCAGACAGAGGAGAAAATAAAAATAAAATTGTATTGGTAAATGTAAGCAGTGTAGTAATGGGATGGTTAAATGCTTTAAATATAATTAGGAAGAAATATACAAGGTACAGAAAGTCTCGCCTAATGATAAATAATAGTAATATTAACATTAAATGAATAATAATAATTACAAGAACAATAATACATTAATTTATTAGTAGTGATTTGAAAAAAATATAATAAAAAACACAATATTAAGTTTGAAGTTGGTCGTTCAATTTGACTTGATTTGGTTACCTTCACACAAAATAGTAAATCCTTGCTAAACCACTAAGGCTCATAGGGCTGGAGCTTACCCCAGTCTCTGTAGCGGGAAGCAGACGAGAGCGTAATACTCCCCCTGGGTGGGATGCTGGTCCACGCAGGTTACTCCCAGCAGTTTGCTGGTACCCATTGATACAGCTGGGTAGACAGAAGCAATGTCGATAAAGTGCCTTGCTCAAGGACACAAGCGATATGCACAGAGAAGGAATGAAAGCCCGACTCCGAGGTTGGAAAACCAAAGCATTCCCACTACGCCAAACTGCCTTCATACTCAATAACCACGTGAATAATTTCAAAATGGAAAACATGGATTTTAGCAGTATGACATACAATAAACAAATAAAAAAAACGCCATGATTTGCTATTTTGATTATCTTCAATAAAAAAACGAATGTTAATATATCAAAATTTGATTTGAAATGAAACATTCCTTAAAATTTAATTAGTGAATTATTTCTTTTATACGATTGGGAGGTAAACATATGGATATATTATATTAACTATCGAAGAACTTACATATTTTGAAGTTGAATATATCGCTTTGAATCTGCTGTCATATCTGGTATTGACCCTCGCAGTGGCAACATCGCATTGCCTTCATTTTCAACAAATTGTTTTAAAGCTTGTGCCATGATCCAGAATGGTGAACTCTTATTAAGAAATAAGAACAAATACGATTGGTTAAAACATAATTCACATATAAATATTCATGTTCTGCAGAAATGAACAATGATGCTATTGGTTAAAACTTGAATGTTTATATGAAGAACAAACAAAAGATAAAAACAAGAGTGTACCCTACAAGTCTAAAGCCTTATCCCAGTCTACCAAGTTTTTATTTGACAAAACATGTGACATGCCTAAATATGGTCATGATGACATCACATCATGACCATATATAGGCACATCATGACTATATATGGTCATACAACAATTTTTTGTCAAAGAAAATATGATATTCTGGACACAGCCGTATTGGACTAAAATATACTTTTAAATAGTACAATACCTCAGAAGATAAATTTGTACATGCTTGGTCATCTAGTATTTTCTGGACGTCCGAGGGAATTTTTGTTGGGATGAGGGCGGTGTTTACGGCGCTTATTGCCTCATCAAAATTTTCCTCGTCTTCCGGAGCTCCATGCTCATTTATTCGAATGCTACTTCGTAGTAGTTCTTTGAAACTCTTCTTTTCTTTGTAATTTTTTGGAATCTGCCCATCATGCTAATAAAGAAATATTATAATTCAATTCCCCTCATACAAGAGTGAACAAAAAAATTGTAATGTTATTTGTGTATCACTACTTGATTTTTAAATAGCACCGCAAAAGTGATTCAGTTCCCTTCCTTGAATACTGGATTTACAGTCACTTGCACACAATCTGATTCTTATCCTCTGTAGTGATATAGTAAACAACATTATGCTGCCTTCAATTTGATCATAACTTGCCATAACGCAGCACACGCATAAGAGAGTTCCAGTGAGAATTTACTGTATGATGTACAGTGTTATTGAATAAAACTTTGATGTTTTATATATGTTTAATGAGTCAACTATCATTAAATTTTCCCCCACCCACCACAAAAATAAAAAATAAAAGAGAGGCTAGTACTTTCTAACATGTTCATCTGAACATGGACTAGAACATCTTGCAGGTACTCATTTATGCAACCTCTCTCCATTATTCAAGACCTTTTTTATACCTGGTTTTGCGAATGTATTTTTTTAAAGATCGTCAGAGGAGGGTGGGAAAACAGAAATTGTCTTCTTTAATTAGCAAATTAATTTTGCCAAAAACATCCAGACGGAGGAGAAAATTAAAAATAAAATTTGAGTGGAAAATGTAAACAGTGTAGTAACTGGATGGTTAAATGCTTTAAATTTATATAATTAAGAAGAAAATATCTAATTTTTTGGGATTTCACTGCAGAGGCAGGCATAAGAACAATAAAGAAAAGCTTGTTTTTCCAGAAAATTTCCATTTATTTGTGGTGCTCGTTGGGCTAATTGGACAAAAATAAAATTTCATTATAATTCAAAAGCACAGTCCTTTATTATAACATAAAAGAAAAATGAAAAAAAAATCCCACAAAAACTAATACAATGTTGAAAATATTTGTTTAAATTAAATCATTATATAAATCTCACCGTTTCTTTCCACTTCTCCAGGAATTTATATAGTAGTATCAGGTATGGAGTGTGCATATGTTCCTATATACAAAAAATACAAATAAGGGAAATGTTATACAATTTATTTATATATATAATGCTTTTTACAAATTTCATTTAGATATGAAAATGTAAAATTACAACATTTGACAAATCCAGAATTGCTCAACTGATGCCATTTAATATTTTCACAAAAAAGAATGTAAATATTGATTTACCTGTTTAGTCATTGCTTCTAAGTCCAATGAATTTGCATATTCAATGAGCTTGGGAAATGGTCGATCCAATCGGAGGTCTTCATGGGCATTATCAGGGTGAGATTCAATAACTACGCAAAAAACATTTTATAAATTGGTATCGCAAAGTGACATTGTTTATGAAAAAATATGTAAATGAGATTGACATCTGACCCAGATTAAATTACTACCGTCAATTTTTAAATAAGAACTGTGGCACTTATAAAATATTCGGAGGTTTCAGTGTGGCAACTATTCGAGTGCGGTGCTTATTCCAGAGCGGCGGTTATTAAAAAATATTGGTGTGGCCCCTAAATTGTAATATTTTTTGGACACTTTCGAGAGATTTTGAGCGACAACCGACACACCCACTTTTTTCGTCTGGGACATTGCCCCCCCTTCCTCCGTTGGGCAAATCCTGGTGCCACCACTGCCTAAAATGTTGTCTGCTCTACCACAAATTTCAAGAATTTATCTGTCAGAAAGTATTAGGCCTATTAAGGTCTGTTCACACTATACATTTTATGCAAGAAATATAACATCATCACGGCCATATACAGACAAGGCAAATGTATTTCTCACATACTGTAGTACTTGGTAATGTGGACAGACCTTTAATACTCCTCACCAAAAAAACAAAACATCTGCCTTACCACATATTTCCACAATTTAATATTAAATAATCTATCAGTATAAGACACATAAAGCTCTCTTCACACTATAAATTTGGATGTGATTCTTGTGATTTTCCCCATATATGGGTGTAACATGACATCATCATGCCCATATATAGACACATCCTCAGGTACGATGATAGTGTGGGCAGATATTTTTCAATTCTCCAAGCAGAATCTCAGCTCACCCGTATGCTCCTTCACTGCTAGTCTCATGTAGCCGATCATACCATAGCTTCTGCACACGAGCAATGGAACATCAGCAGAGTACAAGATTGATGACAGGTCAAGTAACGTCCTAAAAAACATGTTTCAAGTAAAAGTTAGAATATAGCAGTGAACAGTGGCGTATTCCTCCCCCCTCCACTAAAAAAAAATATGAATGATTGCTATTGTAATGATATCATTATCTTTCTCAGATTATTACTGTGTATTTTATATTTGTTTGTTGAGGACCCCTTAATATAAGCTATCTATTAATGGTGAGCTGTACAGGTTATCCTTATTAAATAAAGTTTAATTAAAATAAAATATAAATAAACCCAGAGTCACCCGACCCCCAAAAATCATGCTCAAGTAGTTAAAAATCACCTCAAGTCACCATATTTTGTGAGCTAACATCTAATCATTGGGCCCCCCCCCCCCACTTCACCTTGACACTATCGAATAAAAAATCACTGTTAGGGTTCATGGGTTAATTTGGTCTTAAATGTGGTTTCAGACAATATTAGGGATTCGCAATCAAAATAGTGTTATTTGGATAGGCAAATTATTTTTTTTGGTATGACAACCACGCCATGTTGTTGTACAACCTGTCTCTTATACACATCTATTAATCCTAGCTATGCCACTGGCAGTGAACAAGGTTTTCTCCATTTAAACCAATATAAACAAGTTCTTTTGTATGTGTTATGGTAATGCTCTATATTAGAGAACAGAATTTGATTTTATGTTTTTGCATGACTAAATTTGATAGCAAACTGATTAGATATATATATTGTCTGTATTTCAACAAATATGGTAAGTTTGAACAATAAAATTCTATATTTAATTTGCTTACTCTATTGTATATCAGTTCCATTCAATTGCAAATTAAAACAAGAATTTATTATTCTCACCAATCAGAATAGCATAAATAATCCTGTTCATATTAGGCCAGTTAAAAAAACATAGTTTCTCATCCTAATATTTTGAAAAAAATGAGAATGAGGGCATTTTTATTTTTTTTAGTCCGAGATGGCAAATCCAAGATGATAGTAATTGTTATTGTCATAATGGAGTAGACAATAACTAGATTGGCATCAGGAGAATCGAGTATAGGTTTAATTTTGCCCTACCTGACATGGAAATGTACTGAATAATCAGTATGTGTGAAAACAATTGCTTAAAAAGATGGTCAATGGGAAACAGTTACTACTTTTTCACTTTTACCAACAGACACATTGAAAGCCAATAAAAGAAGCACTAGACATGATTCATACCATATGTATCCCCAACCACGAACGATGGAACAGAGAAATTTTACTGATGTGACTTGGCAAGATTTTCGTACATTTTGTAAAAAAAAGGGGAAAAAGAAAAATTAATGAGGCAGAGAAAATAGATGCGCAAGGGGATGAGAAACGAGTAATTTTTTTTTTTATTTGGCCTTATATCAGGTTCAGATTTATTTATTTTTGTCCAAAAGAAAATTACAGTAGGTGCAAAAATACATTGCAGAAAAAAATTTAATAAACAATTAAACACAAAATTAAATCGTATACTAAAATGCTTTTGTATATATTTAAGTATAAATGATCACTTCATGTTTTAATAATAATTTATATATTTTATTTTTTTTAATGTTTTTATACATTTTAACTCACATAATTTACTGGTACAAGACACACATTTTTGTTTTCTTACCTTTCAACAAGATCAGTGACAACCACAATCGTGAAGCTTTTAAAAAAGTCTGGATTGTTCTCTAGAATTTGCTCAGGAGACTGAAAAAAAGAGACAAAGAACACATAAATGAGTGTAACCATATATGTGAGGTCTCACTACAAAATGAGTCTCATCGTTAGAAAATCAAAAAATGAGTTTATATTATATTTTGGTAGATCACATTATAGCTTTAATTTGATCTTTGAATGGCTTCCCTAGGATAAATACATCCAGAGATGTTAGCATTTAAAGTTTAGCTGTATGAGAACCAGGTTTTGAGAAAATCGGCCTCAAAGATAAACTAACCTGTACAAATATTAGGACTAGAAAATTACAGAATATGCACAGAGAACACTGTTTTAGTAAGAAAATTCACTTAAAAAGTACACAATCATAAAATATAAGTATTAAATAATTTGAAAACATTAAAATCAAAATTTTGTAAAAATCTTGCTTTGACATATTTTGGTGAATATCTCAATATGATTTCACCAACGATGCGTCTCATTTCGTGGTGAGACCTCACATATATTTATGGTTGTCTATCCCATGTTAGATGACACTCTGTTTTTTATTCTGGACCAAAATTATAGGCTAAGCTTCCTGATAATACTAACAATAAATAATAATAGCTTCAAATATTATTATAAAAAGTATCTGGTCTTTGCATTTGCCTAACCACCAATTCCATTAAAAAAAAAATCTTAAAACGTATTTAAGAATTATAATAATGTATAAAACCTAATGCTTTTAGAAAAAAAAAAATATTGAAAATGAAAGTGATGTGCCTACCTCTTCAACAGCATTACCTGACACGTCGGCGTTTAGCTCCAGCAATAATTCTGTAGCCACATGTGCACGGGATTTTCCTATGCTGTCCTGGGTTAGGAAGAAGCTAAACAAGGCAAGTCAGAGGCAGGAAGTTTAGAAACAAAATAGGACATCACCAAAAACAAGTTAAAGTCATTTAAAATGGCAATTGGTCAGAAAAATAAAAAAAAATTCTATGAAAATGCACACTGTTTATCAAAGACCAAAAAAACATAAAAAATTCACCTGAGTACATGTTTTTTCTATAATCTATGTCCTGGGTTACGAAAGAGCTAAACGAAAGTAGGACATCACAAAAAAACAAGTTAAAGCCATTTAAAAAAGGCAATTGGTTAAACATAAATATGTAAACAAAAATTCTATAAAAATGTACAATGTTTCAAAAACAACATAAATAATTTCACCTGGGAACAGGGTTATTCCTATACTGTCTATGGGTTAGAAAGAAGTTATAAACAAGGCAAGTAAGAGGTAAAAAGTTTGGATCCAAAATAAGACATAATCAAAAAGAAGTCATATAAACAAACATTCTATAAAAATTCACAATGTTTATCAAAGACCAAAGAAAATTTGATTCAGAACAGGGCTTACATGCCTGAGAGGAATGATACATTACTTGTTTTTAAATATGGAAGTAGTTTCTCAGGTACAAAGCCCATTCCCTATTATACTGTACAGTACATCTGATTTTAAGTACCAGGTGTTTGAATCATACCAGTGTATGATTTTTTTTTATGGCTGGGCTTGAATTGGGAATGCAGAGTTGAAAACTTGCCTTTTTTTGTTTGAGCAGGAAGAGGGTTTTCAAGTGTATAGTAAGTCTATGCCTCAAATATGGTCTAATTTTGCATTTAAGTGGATGGGCTTCCAACTAGAAGAACTACAGTTCCGTAAATCCTTGAGTAAGTGGCACAGAAATTTTTGGAGGCTTCAGTGCGGTACTCAATCGAGAGTGGCACTTCTTAAATAAATATTGGCGTAGCGCTATCCATGCCATTCCCATGTTACATATCTCACGTATTCTCATATTTTGGTAGGTCTATTTATCATATGCCCTACATTATCGTAAATAAACGTTTATAAAGATATGCTTGTGTCTTCATTGTGTTATTTATTCATTTAAGCACTGTATACATTGTACTTAAACCCTGTTTCTCAAAATGTTTCAAACACACAGGATTGTACACTCGATTAAGCGCCATGGGGCGCTTATTGTATTCAAAATAGAATAATCTTGATTAAGCGCCTTGACGAAAAATATCATGTTTAGTGTGGTGCTTATTCGGGAGTGGCGCATTTTCAAGGATTTACAGTATACAGTATGTTTTTTTTTGTACGTGGAACCTACTTGTTGCCGACATCTTCTCCTTTGACTTTGTTAGCATCTATAATAGTGAAGGAGCCAATGCCTGGTAAGATGAGATTCTTAAGAATCTCTGTACCAGTGGCTGTTGCATTGATCAAACAGATCTTGGCATTCTCCAGTGCTGACTGACCATGATCACCCCACAATCTACAGACAATTCAATTTTATACATAAATTTAATTATTGCATGTTTCTTTTTTAAGACAAGATCAAATGAGGAAATGTTCAATCAATATTAAATTATTTGTTTAAAAGTGAATTTTGATTTAACACCAACTAGGGCCACACCCAAACTTTTAATGTTTCCAGTGTGCTTTCAAAAACCTTCACTCACTGCTTATTTTATACCACCTTATTCTTAGTTTTAATACAATATAATTTTTTAGAGATGATCGGTGTCTGGCCACACAGATATGGTTTTTTAATTCATTTTTGCGGGCTGCATAAAACCATCCTATTTTACATTCACCAATAAAATTTTAGTTTTATTTTCTCCTAGTCCGTCTGGATGTTTTTGGCAAAACTATTTGCTAAAGAAACAATTTAATTTTTATTGTTATTCCACCCTCCCTCCGACGATCTTAAAAAAAAAACAAGTATGCAAAAACAAAGGAATAAAAAAAGTCTCGCCCTTGCTAGTAGTAGTAGTAGTAGGTAGGCTAGCCTACTGTAGCCTAGGCCTACAGTAGACTAGGTGATATAGGCATAGCCTAGGCCCTAGTTAGCTAGCTAGAGGCTGTTGTTAGTGTTAATTTTTTAGGTTAGGGTGAATTGCAAAATGTTCTTTTCCGTAAGTTTATTTTTTAACTGGGCTTAGACCTTCTACTTCTATACAGCTAGGGCTAAGCCTTACGCCTAAACTTAGTATAGTTGGTCGACCTGTCAGACCTAGGCCTAGGGCTCTTATGCTAGTCTCTAGGCTAGGCCTAGTAGCTAGCTAGAGCCTAGGCGAGCGGCCTACAATGATCCAGGGCCAGGCCCGGGGTCTTGGCTGTACTGCAACCTCTCTGTATTTAATAGTCAGTTTAGGTATTTGATGAATGAAGTCGCTGTCTGGTTATCATTAAGCCTAGCACCAATGTTATCATTAGGCCTAGGATGAGAAAAATACCTTAACTGGCGGTCATATTTAGTTTCTTTGTCAACACTCTTGCGAATCACGGGCGCAGCCATCTTGTATTATTTTTGCTATTTTAGGCTCTGAATCCAGACCCTAAAACATTGACCGCGCTACATACGGTATACGTTCCAAGTCTAGTTCACTTTTTGATGTTCATTATAAAAAAATATGAATAATACATAACATAGGCCTACAAAAAAAGAAGGGGGTAGGGAAGAGGATTTAACTTGAACAGGGCCGGCGGAACGTATTTCAAAGTGGGGGTGTGCACTAGTAAGATGAATGGGAATGTACAAAAATATGCATAGACATTAGGCCTATATTTTCTGCCAAAAAGTGCTCATGCATTCTAGTAGCTTAGTTAGATTCAGATTTCTGAGGAGGAAGATCTGAATATAATGCTCAGTACAAATTTGAAGAAAATTAGGCCTACATTGCAAATGTATTGCAACTCACTGTAAATTAAATATAAAACATAAAAAAAAACAAAAAAACAAAAACAAAAACAAAAGCAAAAACAAAAGAAAACAACCAATCTGTGAATTGTTTAATTACGGCATATACTTACGTGTAGGCCTATCCATTTAATTTAGTAGCCACATTGTGGCACTGGCCGACATGTAGATTTGTTTTTTTTTTTTTTTTTTTTTTTTGGACCCGGCTGCGCAACTGAAATTTAAAAAAAAAAAAAAAGACAAAATCCCACACAAATATTTTAAAAGTGTATGATTATGTTTTTTTTTCTGAATTGCACTGAGATCAGAAATGATAAATCATAGTTAGGAGCCGGCCCGGCGACGATGCACTGTAACCTCCGGCCGCCGCTGATGCGTTTGTTATACCCTACAAAAATTTGCGTTTGTGTTTACTAATTTACCCCGAATTTTTACCGTATAAAATATTCAAGAAATACTGGCTGAAAGAAATAAAATAAAAATATAAATGCAAACCATGCATTAATAAGATTAAAGTAGGCCTGCATAAGCCGCCTATAGGGCCTATAATTAGCATGATTAATTTACATATTATTTTTGCGTGGATGATTTTAAATTATCAATAATAGATCTATCAGTTAAAAAAAACGAGTTAAAAGGCCAATTAGGCCTATATAACAGGAGTTATGAAATGTAATTGATAATTAGTGCAATCGATTACTTACAAAGCAAAGAAGAAATTGAATTGAATTGAAAAGTTAATAGGCCCTATCAGTAAAATGATACCATAAAGTGAAACGGCAGATAAAATAAATAATTAAAAACAAACCCAGCTGAGTCAAAAGAGTATTTACTAAATGTATTTACCATCGCTGTAAGCAATGTTTCGATCATTTGGAGGATAATAATTTCTATCGATTCCTCGTTTGACAGATGTTGGGTGGAGTGGGGGTCAGGTAATTTGAAAGCCCTGGGGACGTTTTAGCGCATGTGTAATTGATACTTTGAGAGAAAAGTTGAAAGTTTAGTTGCATAAACTATTAGTAATATATATTACTATATGCCACGTAGTCTAATGCTAGAATGAAGCGATTGATATAGAAGATCGGAAATCACAGTATAAAACGTGAACCGTTGCATCTGCTTACAGTGCTATTTTTATGAAAACCAGATGAAGTTGAATTGTTAAAGTGAGTTAGAAATTGTTTTATATCTTTTAATATAAACACTTATATATCATATTATATAGATGTGCATGCCTAGGAATATATAATATTATATGAAATACGAAACGTCAACGCTGACACACTCAGGCAAGAATAGCTTAAAACAAGTAAGATAAGGCTATTATTTATTCCTTATATGAAATTCTGCATTGTATTCCATTTAAAAGGTAGAACGTTCACATATAACGAGTTGGTAGCCAACTTGCGTCACTCCCTGTCACAAAGTCGTCATCATTATACACTTCTTGGTCGTATACACTTTACTTTACTTTTCATTATTCAATGCCTTTTTCAGACTATTATTTTTTCTACTATACATATATCAGATGCAGTACACCTGGACACCGACTTATAGGTTTTTTAAACTAAAACCAATGCTGTTGTACGGCAAAATGTTTCTGTAAGTTGCTAAGTGCACCGGTATCTACTATAATGTCTAAATCGGCCAAAGTAAGTTAAAACAATGCATTATTTTCATTTTTAATATAACCTATAAGCAACAGGATACACTTGTTGCAAACTCAGAAATGATCTGCCTCTTCTAATACTTTGCAAATCAAAGTGCATACAAACTGATAAAACATATGTCAAAGACAAAGTTACAACACTGTGTTATTATTATTTAGTTTGACATATTCAAAAACACGTTCCAAAAAGTCTCAAAAATGAATTACAGTACATAGTTCCTGTGTGCACTAGGGATTAGCTTTTTGACCATCACATTTTTTTTCAGGATACTAACGTGGGCCTGATCACTGAGGCAGTGGCGGCTCTAGAATATATTCTCTCGGGGGGCTGAGCTGTCCGACAGGGGGACTTGAGGTCGTAGGCATCAGCTGGGGGAAGGGTTTAAGAGGAGAATCCCCTCCCAAATGAGATTATTTTAAGAACAGGAACCTCTGGATGGCTCAGAAATGACACTATCAGACTGTGACAGACGTGTGTTGGCTTGGCGTGGGCCTATTCTATTCTTTTATATTTGTTTAGTCCGACTGCCCAACAAGCTCTGTCTGATGGGGGGGGGGGGGGGGGGGGACT